CCAACAACCAAGTCTTCCTCATCATTGTCCGTTACGTCCCATCTCTCTTCTGCTTATTTTTTGGGCCTCTTCCCCTTCCCCCGTGATACCACCATCCATATCATCCATTCAGGTACAGATACTACCACGATTTCTTGATCTTACTACTTTCCCAACCCATCCAGCCGTCTCGCCAGGTCCGTGCCAAGACTTTCCGGTTGGGCACCAGACGATGATATATTCCGTCTTGAGTTAGGATCTGAGGAGGAAATGGTTTGATAGGGACGTTTGGAAATTGAGCTCGACCGCTGGTCTGGGCGGACTAAAGCTGGGTTGGTCGCGGGGGCCCGTTATCTGGTATTGGCTCCAATGATAAAGCACCCTCCAAATTTCTTGCCTCCTCCGATGGAAGGCCGCCTAATCCTTCTGGATTAAATCCCTCAATCTCCTCTTTAGAGGCCCCGGGGGCCTATAGCCTAAGAATTTCCTCGGTGGTCGCCCTCTTCACCTTGAACAAACTCTTCGGTTTTTGCTTCTCGGGGAGCAGCCTCCTCGACGATTTTAGCCTTCTCGACAGTCTTCGCTCGGATTTCACCCTCTCCCCACTGTATTTAGCTTCATTGCTTCTGGCTAGTTCGGTACCCTTCTTCGGTTCGCCTACTGTCTTAGAGTCTAACGTGCGGTCAGCTGCTTGGGGTGCGGGGCTAGGATTGGATACCGGTAGTCTTGCGATCCGTTCCTGCAATGGAGCACCGCTTTTCTCGTATCCAAGGTATTACTAGCATCCTTCCATACATCTGGGGGTGGGTCCACTTTCCGGTTTGATGGTAGTGCGAAGGCACATTCTGATGGTGCGAGCGATGCATCCGCTTCAGCCCAAATTTTAGTGGAAGCCGGGTTCCAAGCGGACTCGTTGTCTGGATTGAGAGCCTTGAGCTGCTGACTATTCCGGGGGTGAGATCTATTCTCATCATGAGATTCAGGTTTTGGAGGCGAACTGGGGCCTATGCTCTTTCTCTCCCATCGTACGGTCACTGGGCAAGAGTCCTAGTGAGACGAAAGTTCCCTGTGCCGGAGATCACGGCCCTACAATAAGTGTAGGGGGGGGGTAATACGAAATTGGTTTTCTGTGTGGGGAAGGAGAAACCTAGTTTCATTAAGGCTATTGCCTAGTAACTGTTTGTTGACAGGAGTGTCATCTTTTGGGGAGTTGGCATTAGTAAACTATACTTGGGGATGGATGCCTTTGTTTTCTCGATGATTTGGAAAACGAGGTGCCTGTAGGTGTGCGTCCTCCTCCCCCCCCCTCAGCGCAGGATGCTGTGGAGGGGGTTTCTGACTTGCTGATTGACAGTTTCTGCAGTTAGCGGATGACGCAATGCTGGGGAGGGGTTTTTCTCAACAGCGGGGTGACTGATGGGGGGAGTGCCCTGACTATTTTGGGCGTCTTAACAGGCGCGGGGAATGGGGGGGTTGGTGAGTTGTTGGATTGGGATTTGTGAGTATGGGTGGCATCGAGGGCTAGAGATACTCGAGTAGAGTAGGACGATAGGACGGTGTTGTCTGGCTTGGAAAACTCGTTGGTGGGCCGTGTCTCGTGGTGCTTCTGCGGGAGAGACTGTATAGGAGGAGTTGGGGTGCAGATTGATACACGTGGGTTTCCGGGAATAGGATGCACTTGACTCTGCCGACGCATGCGGTGGTACCGTTCATGGCAGCGGGAGGATCACCCACTAAAGCCCGTATTAACACTGGGTTTTAATTGGTGATTGGGTATTAGGATCCGTTTCTCCCTCGTTGCAAAAACGGGATCAGAAGATCCAATAGCCAGAGAGACATTATCTAGCTCAGCCGTCTCCCTCGGAATCGAATTCTACGGTTCGGGTGGTAGCTCCGACTGTGAAGCCCCCACCGGTCTTCTCTAAATTAACCTGGGTGGCGTACCACCGTTGTTCTGCTCCTGGATTTGTCAATAAAGGAAAGGGTTCTTTGGAGCGGGCATGAGTTGCATGAGCAATGGCGACTCGAGTGTATAGTTATGATATGATATTTCTCCCCCTTTCTTAGTAAGATCTCTCGCCCTAAACCAATCGACCCTCTCGCTTCACCTCTTTTAACTATTCCCAGTTTTTGCGCTTTGCTATATCCCCTGTTCCTGAGCCTTTCATCGTCCCCTCGAACCGATTGCTCAACACCCCCGAAAGATTGAGACGGGCTTGGGTTTCTAGCCTCCCCTATCTGGCTATTGGTTTCCTCTTCTAAGGGTTTCGGATATCCCTTAGTCTTTCAGGATTGAAAGGTATTTTAGGATAACTTGTGCCAGTTAAGCTATACCTGACATTGGTACACTGGGAAACCCTGGCGATCGTGGGGGGAGTGGAGGAAGTTCACGGGTCGGCTGGGGGATCTGAGGGAGGAAGCGGGCATCCAAGGACTTTAGGGTGAGTAGAAGCCTGGGTTCCCTTACACCCAAGCACAGTTTCTGCACTCGGACTGCCTGAGGTAGATGGAAGGGAGGCTGGGAAATACACGAGGCCGTGGAAGGCTGTGGTGGCTCGAGCTGTTGGTCTCGGGGTTTCTGGTGCCTATTTCTGCTGAGTGAAGAGCTCACTTACCCGGGTCTTGGGGGTAGAGTGTCCCCATCGAATTCGTGCACTTTCTGTAGGGATGCCCTGCCTGGGTATAGGACTGGAATGAGGATTTTCTACGCTTTAGGGACTGTATTGGGAGCGGCGTTGCTATTGTGGAGATGTTTGTGGTGCTCGGTGACCATCGAATAATGGGGTGCTTGGGCACAATGGTGTTGTGGTGGTCTTACGATTTCTTGGCCACAAGTCGCGGTGGGCCCCAACGTACTTATACTTAAGTACACGTCGGTATGCTATGATACCTCAGGTAATTCCGCTCGAGGGTATTACGGTCTAAAGGGCCGGCTTCCTGCCACTTCTCGCCAAATAATCCTCAAATCACGTTCACTGCCTCGAAACACCGGAGAGGGAAACAATTTATTCTATCAGCGAAATGGATACCAACGGATGAGGTTGGTCTCTCCCGGCTCTAATGTCCCCGTCCTATGGCGTTGTACCGGCCACCTGCGGTTAGGAAAAGGTTGACATTTTTTCCGGGTAGGGAAGTCATACTTGAATAGGGTTCGACCGCGTGTGGTTAGCTCAAAAGTGAGGGAAATTACGACGAGGGGGTTATTGTTGCTAATTATATCCTTCCATTACCTTAAGCATTAACGGGCTCCGATCGAGTTGGCGGGCGAGGCTACGTTCTAGCATGCATGAAAGAAGAAGACGGCTCTTGTCCAAAAGGCCAGCTCCGCAAACTCCTGTATCGACTTACAGGCGGGAGGGGGTATATCCATTGGATCTCGGTATAATATTTCAATATGTGACTGATGGTGTCGTCATGAATAATCACTCGCCTTGGATTCTGATGCTGTCCGAGTGATTTTGAGTGAGGACAGATATAGATATTTTTGCTCAATGGTTCGAGGCTTAAAAGTATAAGCTTTTGCCGAAAACACAAATATGGATCCCCCGCCGCAGTTATTAGTGGCCTCTAGTTTTTATCAAGAAAGGTCTTTCACTTTTCCAGTCCGTCCCCCACTCACACATTGGCATCGGGCAGACCGTAGCTTTATCCCAAACGGACATTGTCGGTCGACGACTAGGGGGAAAAAAAAAAACGAGAACAAAAGCCACGATTTCCTTGGTTTCCCTTCTGGGTATCATATATATAATCTAGGGGATTCCCCCTCACCCACTCCTAGCCTCCCAGCCCTTCGAAAACTTTCATAAGGGAAAGACCAACACGACGAGGAGTGTCGTATCAAAATAATAACAATTAGAATGCCACCCCCACCACCACCCTTCTACCCGGAAGCTGACGAAAAAGACGAGGAAGCCGGTGTCAAAACGATATCCACTGCGATATCCCGTCTGGCCCGCATCCTCGGCCTGGGCAAGGACCAAGCGGGAGCCGGGTCGGTGGGCGGCGGGAGCCCGAGCATCCCGATCGGCGGCTCGGACGAGGAGTCGTACGTCCTCCTGGAAAAGCCCAGCGAGCTCCCCCCCATCCGCACCGCCAACACGCGCAAGGCCTCCTCCCAAAAGAGGTCGATCATGGAAATCTTACCGGAGGACATGAGGAATCCCAAATGGCGTTTTGACAACGCAGCGCAGAGCATACTACCACCCACTCCCGCGGTCCCTTTGGTTGCCCGAGGCGGTGGTTATCCTGCCGCTGAAGGACACAATTCTCTGGAGGGTACAGTACACACACACACTCTCTCTACCGTATCTACATTTTTCCCTTTGGTAAAGATCACTCACTAACATCCCCACCCCCACTCCTCTCATATGACTTTTATAGGTTTCGGAATGTTATTCTTGGGTCTCGCTGTCATCTTGTTCGCGTCTATTCTCGTCTCCAGCCATTTGCTCCTCGGCCGTCGCCGCCGCCGCCGCCGCCTCCCCAGTAGCACAGATTATGAGGGTCAGTACCCGGAGGCGCCTGCTGCTGGCGGCGATAAGGGGGGGTTCCGTAGTAGTGTTCCGGAGTGCCAGTCTGTTAGTTCTGTGCCTGGCGGTGAGGTGTTGGTTGGCAAGGCGCTCCCGAGGTATGAGGTTATCAGCGGTGAGTGGGAAACTGCTAAACTGTGGGGAGGGAGGGGGGAGTAAGTTTAGATTTGCGGGGGGAGGGGCGAGAGTAAGTGAATGGGGATTATTTTTTTTATTGTCTCTATTGCCTTATTGGAAGGTGGATGGATGGGATGATTTATTGATGAATGAATGAGTGAACGAACGAGCGAATGAATGCATCCATGCATGCATGGATGAATAAAGGGGCGGGGTGTAGGGTTCAAAAGTTTGATTGATTTGTTTATTATGATAAATATTATGAATTTTGAATAAAAGTCCACTCTGATAATTTACTATTGGGCTCTATCCAACTTTTCTTAACTCCACTCCACTCCACTCAACTCCGTACAACTGGCCAATGGCTTTGCACCACCCAAGCAACTGGGAATAAATTTCCATCCCTGCGTACTTTAAATTACATATCATAACCTCGTGAAGTCGTGCCGCATGGCATGCATACCGTACCGGAATTCCCAGACAAGCACCGTAAAAAGAAAAGGGGAAAATCAAGTAAAGAAAGAAAGAAAAAGACCTCCCACCAAGCCTTTTTTTTTTTCCCCCAGCGCCAAAACCTAGACCGAAAAAGGAAAACACAAAGTAAAAAAAAAAAAAGGAAAATACAAGAATTTTAGCATTGACGGGAAGGTCCTAGCTACGACATTTTTCGTGATCGGGAGGGCTGGTGGAGTGAGCCGTACACCGAGTGGAGGGGAATGAATATAAAGGAAGAATATAGGGGAAATATGAAGAAAAGAAAGAAACAATTAAACAGGTAAACTTTTATCTACACACTTATGGATGAATGACATGACATGATACGGAATGGAAAAGCAAGTGAGCATTAACATGGGGTGGTTTTTTTTGCGTAGAATCTAACGCGAACAAATGAAGTTGAGCAAAATAGGGATAGGGATAACAGAACGGAATAGCATCAAATACCAGACGAATAAAGCGAAGCGGGCACCAGTGATAGCGTAGCACTTGGGGAAGAAAAAAACTAAAAACTGGGGGAGAGCATGTGGAAAATGACTTGTCTAGGAGGGTGTGGTGATACCTAGACATTTATAGAATTGGATGAGAGGGTGGAATAGGGGGGTGAAAGTACAGATTATTTTGGCTTCATCCCGGCCATTAGAGGCGGGAACCCCATGGACTTGATCTTCTTCTCGTGCTCATTCGACTTTGCATGACTCGTCGCCGCGGCTCCGGGGCCAGTAGTGATACCAACAGATGGTGGCTTGGAGGTCGGGCGGTATGGGGGCGGCTTCATCAAGCGCTTGTTCATATTTTCGCTATGGCCGAAGCTGGCAGCGTAGGAGGAGTTGACTTGATGGCGTGAAATAGGTTGGCTGTGGTCTGAAGATTGGAGGATCGCTTGGATTTGCTGAGTAAGAGCGATGGGGTTCTGGGGCGGCGGCTTGCGGACCCGTCTGGATAGAGGGGAGGAATTGTCTGGCGAGCATCGCATTGTTCCGCGGGAGATCGTGTTTGCTGACGAGGTTGAAGGATATTGGTGGTTACGCCAATTGCTGGTGAGTGTTGCGATGGTATCCAGCGTGGGGTCCACGGTGGCTTGATCGTGAGAGACTATATCCCTGGAGTGAGGAGGGCTAGTGTCAATGGATTCGTCGAGATCCATGCTTTCCGTCAAGTCTTCAAGAAGTGCATTGATCTGCTCTAGCGACATCGATTCTTCGGAATCATCGCCCACAAGGTCTCCGGTGTTTCTATGTTCGCTCTGTGCTACGCTTGGTTGAGATGATACCAAAATGGCGGGGGCTTCCGGTTCCATTGTCCTGGACAGCAATTCGTCCATGCAAAGTCCACTCTCGGCAACTAGTCTCTCAAGAATCTCATCGTCCAGATCAGGTTCCCCATCCGCATTTGTGGGGAATAGGGCATCGATATCGGCATCCGAGAGCTTCTCAATAGCACCTTCGATCCCCTGTTGCTGGGCCATATGGGCAGCATTTCCGAGTTGTTGGGCCTGAAATTGACTTTCGGCCTGTTCAGTGGATTGTAGGGTATCCGGAGGTACCTCGGATAGCTCGGTTTTAACTTCAACTGTCTCAAGGAATCTATCTTCATCTGTACCAGGGCCTGGCCACCGAGGCATGGGAGATTCCAGCGGTTTCTGTGGTTCGCCGCCGGCCAGCGCACCTGGGGGGGCATTAAATCTCACACGCAGAGCAGCCACTATATCTTTGATCTGCGAAGAGTTATGGTAGACGGGGGAAGATTCCTCATGTGTAGGCCACACAATCTCTTCTAAACCGGATGGATTCCCGTTGTCACGATCGCTGCTGGTGCACGAGGCAGTGTTTTGTATCTCCATTGGTTGATGGGGTTCCATCTGTTGACTACAAAGATCGTTGCCTGGCTGGCCTTGACTATTGCTACGAGAGGCGGTTTGAACGGCTTGGGGTTTCGCTGCTTCTAGATTCTGTGTGGCGTTAGGGGAATGCAGGAGGGATACAAGATCCTGTAGGGCCACGCGGGTCTGGTCTGCTTGGCTGTCCAAAGGGGGTGTTTGGAAATTGCCAAAAATTGGATTTGTATTGGCGGCCGACATGGGAGGAGCCGGGCTTGAATTGTAGGCTTGAAAAACACTGGAGGAGCCGGCACCCGTATTCGGTCCAGTCTCGTCTGCAGCCCGTGCTCTTTCCTTGGCCTCACGCTTTGAACGACGTCGGAAGAACTCGTGCTTCATCCATAATCTCTTCTCTTCACAGTCTTCCAGCCCCCAAATCTTGTTCCCTCTCTTGGTTACACGGCACCGCAGGTCATTGTCCTTGTCTATTAGGACGAGCATTAGCCATAAAGGGACAAATATTGTTTTGGACAAACTCTGGGGAGTATCAAGTATAATAGCTCGGATAGAGAGGGAGGGGAGGCAAAGGGAAAGTGTTTGAATAAAGTCGATATGAATAGACTTGGAAATCCTAGTGGAGGAACACACTCACTTCGATCTTGATTAGACTCTCTCCATCGCTTCTTCCTCACCCTATTCTCGCCTCGAACGCGCTCTCGCTCTGCAGCTTTTACTGGGTCTTCAAAAGCACCATCTTGCCTCGCCCTCGAATTGCTGCCGACCAAATTTGGAAGCCGCCCCGTGCTGTTTCGGGCTGACCATTGAGGAGTCTGAGCATCCATTGCTGGGCTCATCTCAAGGACCTGAGAGTTGCTCCTGTACGGCGCTGGGCTTATAGACTGACTGTCCTCCCTAGCTAGGCCATTGGGGTGGCTGGCTGGTGAGGTTCCCGAATGTTCGGAGAATGAGCCTGGGCCATGGGCCGAAGGTGGTGGGGAGTTGGCTCTGGTTGCCGGCTGAGAAAGCTCTACCATGATCCGTTGCGCCTCAGCCGACTCCTCCTCATTGTGGGAGTCTCTGCCAATACCCGAGCTCTCAGATACCGGGAGGTGAGGATTGTTTTGAGTTCCGTCTTTGTTCTGCAACCCCTCCTGTATAGAGATAGCGGCGCTAAGACTGCACCCCAAGAGTTCTTGTAGACTCTCATGTCCTAGCCTAAGGGATTGCAAGAGGACACGATCACTTACACCGAGGTGCAAAGCAGCTGCGAACTGGGATGCCTGAGCCTCGTCGGAATGACTTTGCGATAGGTGCCCGTTCGGGTGGGATGAATTTTCTCTTCCTTGGGGCACTTGGCCATTTGATCGAAGTATATTTGTTAGTTCGCTAACAGCAGAAGCAAATTCCGAGAGTTTATTTGACTCGGTCTGCGCAGGAGCTGGATTTTGGAGATGATGCCCGTGGTGCCCTGCCAGGGCCTCTATCAGGCGCATATCTACATCCATCTGTGGAGAAGCAGCGGGTCCGAAGCCACCCCACAACCTAAGGGCTGGAACAGCGACAACAGAAAAATATCAGCAAAATCCATTTCCATCATCGGGTTGAGATATCGCTTATCGCTGACGTCTCCCAGGCATTTTTCACTTGCGGCTAAGCGACTTTGCCCAAAGCCTTTCGATTCTCAAGGGAGCACTTACAATTGTATAGACTACCCTCAGCAGGGCGATGTGACTGCGAGAATGAGACTGTCGTTGAGATTTTTGAATGTGTGCGGGAAATTTTTGGCGCACTGTGAAAATTAATGGTATTGTGTGTGTGTGGGAAGCGAGTGCCGGGTTGGTGGTGGGGGGAAGGTGATTTTTGTGTGGACGGTGGGGTGAGTGGGAGGAGAGGGGTCTGATTGGATTGGCTCGGTTGGGACCAGCAGTTTTGGGGGCAGGTAGGCAGGCAACTTGGTCCAATGAGGCCGGGCTCTGCCACAGGGGAGAGTCAATGATCGTTAGAGTGCCGGCACGAGTGGCAGCGAGAGAGAGGACCCACAATACCCGAGTGCCGGTATCAGGTCAAGAGGATACGTTGTACTGTACAGTGCTCGAGTATACCGGTGTATCATGTATGATATGTGGCTTCGGTCAGAGGCACAATCCCCACAATCCCTAGATGGAGGTGTCCTCTCGATTTTTTCCTCACAGCTTACCCTGAAAAACACATGGATCTCGCATTCCACGATTCCCGTAGCATAAAGGTGTGGGTCTGTATAATACTCCTCGAGATAGGCATACCCAGGGTCCGGATAATGCCACGCATCAGTTTCCACCATTGGCCCGTCCTTCGGTGGCATGCCCTGTAGCGATGTATTGTAGTATCAGACTTGCGTGAGTCTCGGGATGGAGATGGATTGCGGGTGAGGTCCGGGAGGAATCCCTCGGATGGGAATTGGAAGGGTTGAGTATTATTTAAATGGAGTGTCAGGGATTAGGAGGGTGTTTGCCGCTCGCAATCACTTGTTAGAACCGGGTATTCGGTGTATCGGGCACGCGCAAGCCTGATCTATTCCCCCTTCCACTCCTCAGTATACACTGTCGTACAGTGCTACATTCACGAGCACTACCGGTAGATGATATGGTGTCATACGAGTTACCGGTGTCCCGTGCCCAAAGTCCCTGATATTGCGGACAGTGACGGGCTTCGGGGGCACACTTCTCCCGTCTCCACCCCGCACATGGGTTCTTCTACGGTAACAAGGATAGCAGTGCCAGTGCCAGTGCCAGTGCCACGGTCGGAGGTTGAAGTTCGGGGGGGCTGGAGTTTGTGCGGCAGCATGAAATGCTTGAATGGGTAGCCTATCGTGGAAACGGGTTCAGAGGTCCCGTATCGAAGGGATTCAGGCTGATTTCTAGTAGGGGCACCGGTGTATCATAGTGTGTTGGAGTGGCCGAAGCGATTCCCGTAACGTATCATACTCGTAGATGGCATCCCTATTTGCACAAGCCGTGATGCTGCCGGCGAAGCAGCCCAATGATACAATGAACTTGCGGTACCCGTAAGTTACAGTATCGCTAGCGTGCGAATGCGATGCCGGCCGCTCCATACTTGTGAAGATCCGACGTCATCCCGGAGCCTCAACCCAACCCCAGAGAAGTTCCCCCTCAGCATCGATTCCCTCCATACACCAAACAAATATCGGGATAACCAATGGCCTTCCGATTTATCCTCCCATCAACAGCTTTCCTCGGGCTCGCTGCGTACACACTGCCGTCTCCTACCTCCCCCGTTTGCCGCATTCACTGCGAGTCCCACCATTGGCCTTTTGCCGGGGCTCCGGGCAATCGGCCGTCGTTGACAACTAAACCCCGTACCACCTTCTCCCCTCTTATCTATCGCCAGATTGCTTCTGGGTCTTTCATTGGGCTTGCTGTGGGCCTGGCTGTCTGCAGGTTTAGCAAATCGATCGCCTTGATACTCGGAAGCTTGCTCTTGCTCGTTGAGGTATGGAACAAGAAATGGAATAAAAATAGGGGCTGGGATTCCCCAGAGGCCGAGTGTTCTAACACATCGGACTTTAGTTTCTGGCGATGAAAGGGTTCCATGTCGTTCCATACAGGCGTCTGTCTAGGTGGACGAAGAATATTGATCTGAGGGATCTTGTTACAAGGAATATGGCGTTCAAGTAAGTGCTGTTGAATTCGGAGTCTGCTCTCTTAGCACAAGGATGACGCCCCGAGAAGGCTTTGGCTGATCAAACTTATAGGGTATCTTTTGGTGCAGCTTTCGCATTGTCATCCTACAATTGAGCCCCAGCGGGGCGAGTCACCAGAATGGCTGCACACAATCAAAACATCATGTATTATATCCATAGACGTTTTTTCAGTTCAAATATTGAAAACCCGCCTCTTCACAACCTCCTTGAAGTCGCTTGGTTAGAGATACTGTGCCCTTGAGCCTGGCGGGGCACTTTCTCTCACGAAATCTGAGATATTATTTCCATTCCTCTCTTGATTCGGCAGACCCCACCGCTACTGGTACGCTGGAATACCAGTCTCTTTGATAGGGCCCTATCACAAGTATTGCACTTGCCAACACTCTTTTCTCTAGCCCCCAACTCCTGGAGGGCTCGTCAGACAAACCTGACCGTCAACCAAGCCTGCGGATAAAACACTAGGAGCCTTACTTTCGCACTAGAAGTTTGGTTCTTTGATCGATGAGACTGTCTGGATCATCGCAGCGCCAAGGAAGCCACAAACGCTTGGGGGAATTTTCTTGGATCCAGCCACAGCCCATTTCCTCCACCTATTGCTCCCTCATGCAGGTGAAGGCTATACCAGCTACCACACTGAAATATCTATCATAGCAATATGGTAACCCCCCCCCCCCAAAAAAAAAAAAAAAAACCGAACCACCAACCCCTACCAGTAACCCAACCTTGAGAATTTGTTAGGTTGCAGGGCACCAGGTACAGCAATGGTTTCGACACTGACATTATACCCAGGATTCCCTTATCCGTATACATGATGTTATTGAGACCCATAGGTGGTTAGCGCGGATACCATTTCCTAGCTACCATTGGCCTAGACACAAACCCAAACGAACCCTAGTACTAATACGGTTCTCAATGGTCAAGCAAGTCCAACCCATCCAGTAGACAGCACCGGCAATCACTACTTCTTAATGGCCATCAAGTGTGTCTTGCTCAATGGTTTCTTTGATCCATTGAGGAGTCTAGCACACCCTTTTGAGAGCAAAGCATGCACTCTTACTCAACAGCTGCGCCTCCATACATCTCTATAGACCCCGAGATGGAGAGTCTTGCACCTTTTGACCACAGCATTGAAGTCCTCCGGCCGGCCGGTCCGATCCCCGCCAATGGATTGTCTTAATGGTTATGAAACCCATTGAATCGGGCTAAGAGCATATATCTCTCTTTCACCAACTCTGAACCCCTTCTTCCAAATGCTACACACCTTCCTCCCAGATATCTCATGCCGTGCTGGCGCATCTGACCACCTACTACGCATGCGTGCGAACGCCGAGACCAGCTCTTTATCCCGTTTGTCACTATAAAGTGCGACTTCTCTGATCCTTACCCATACCCCCTCCCCCTTTTTTCCTGTTTCTCCCTTGCCGAAGAAACTAGCCATTCTTTCGTCGCACAAACTTCCTCACGGTCGAATATAAAAAAAAGTTAAAAATTCTTAAAAATGCACTTCACCATCATCCTTCTCGCAGCGCTCCTAGGAGTCGCCCTCTCTGGGCCCATCCCATGGGAGGGAAACAGCGACCGTGGGGTCTACAGGCGTGAACCCGAGGCCGAGGCATGGCACCCAAGGCCCGGCCCCGCCATGGCAATCTGGCAAAAGCGCGATACGGAGCCCTCCCCGAAGGCCGAAGCCTGGGCCCCAAGGTGAGCTTCTTGACGCCTCGAGTGATAAATCGAGATTGAGTTCAACCCGCTAATTCGCGGTGCTCGCTATAGGCCCGGCCGTGGAGCATATAGGCGTAATGCTGTGGCCTGGGCCCCAAGGTGAGCTTCTTGACGCCTCGAGTGATAAATCATGTTTGAGCTTCAGCCAGCTAACTTACTTACTATAGGCCTGGCCGTGGTGCGTACAGACGATCTGCTGAGGCCTGGCATCCAAGGTATTTTCCCCTTCTATCTCTCCCCCTTCTACCGTGGACTATCGGCTGACACTACGCACGACAGAGCTGGCCCACCTGCCTACTCGATTTCCAAACGTGAGGCAGAGCCGGAGCCAATTCGCTTTCAGCCGATTGGAAACTTCGATAAGGAATAATCTTCTTCGTATGCCCCCTCTGCCTGTTCTTCCTCCTCCTCCCCATATGAAATATGTTAACTAACTACTGTCTTCCCCAGAACAACTCCCCCAGCCAAAGCAGAAACCGACAAACAACCACAAAACATCACTATCCAGACTATTTCGTGTTTATTTTTTTTATCCTTATTATGATATTATACCACGACTAGGCTTCCCTAGTACGTACCGTACCTGTAACGGGAAATCCGGCAGATTCGGAGGCCTATCGGATTTCTCACGCCCATTTATTATTTATCAACCTATTTTTTATATTTTTTATTTTCACCTATCAACACGTGACGAAAAACGATGACAGATACGATATGGGAATCTACCTACCTTGCCAAAAAAAAAGAGAAAAGAGAACAAACCCCCCCCCGAAAACTATGCAGTGAGAGTTTCTCCCATTCATACTACCCCCACTCTCACGTCTTTTTTCTTTTTTTTTTCTTTTTCTTTTGTTCTTCCCTTTATATCTTTCTCCCTCTCACACAAGCTTAAACCCCTTCGAAATGCCCTTCGAAATGGAAATCCATATCTCTCCTGCACCCTTTGTAGCCAGCTGCTTTACTTTCCTTTACCCTTACTTTACCTTGGCCTTTTTACTTGCCTTTTCTTCTCTTCTCTTCTCTACTACGCAAGACGCTCTGGCCTGGACACCCAGACGCCTTACCTGTTTCTTGGAGGACGGACGGACGGACGGATGAACGGACAGATGAATGAATAGATAGACGGACGGGAGCCTTACCTCGATACTGAATTCACAAATTTAGTTACGCGTGCCCCTTTGCATGATGGGAAGAAAGGGGCCATCGTAACCTACCTTACCCAGCTTTTGCCCACTCTCGTGTGCTCTCTAGTAAATTCACTTCAAGGGATAAATTGACAATTATTCATTCCGAATATTTCACACGAAAACTAACTATCTCGAAAAGCACCATACCCCACTGCCCCATACCCCAGACGGGGGATCCCAAGAACCTGTGTCCTACAGTATCGTAGTTATGATGGCACCCGCAGTACCATACCATACCATACCATACCATACGTAGCGTTAAACCCTAGACGACGTATCGTGCCTATATAGAAAGATCCATCTCCCGCCGGGAAGGGCGATTGGCGTGATGCATCAAAACGGTACAGCGCGTCCACGTGCGCATTCCGGTAAATTATTATTAGTGGACGAACATGGAGGTGCGTAGTATGGAACAGGGCGAGTATATCATCCCCCGTCACCAACGTTGCCGGGGCTGAAAGCCCTGGGCAAATACCCGAGTGATACCAGATGACCTAGACGCCAAGATCCGTTTAAACATTCACTCCGAGATGAGACTTTAATGCCTCTACGGTACTCGTCAACATCGAAAGCAAAGACAATCATCGCACGCAACTTAGCGAACGTCGTCAGGGGCCCAAAGCCAATGTAGCAAATCCCTATTCCATTCGTTCCTTCATCCCATTACCAACAAATCACTACATACGCCCTCTCCCCCTCCCTCTCTCCCCCGCCCACGCCACACAGCATTATTTATTATGCTACATCACACGTCCAGTCGACTAACCAATCGGCTAGCCAAACAAGAGGGGGGAAAAGAGAAAAACGCACAGAAATAAAAGTCCCCCTTCGAAAACACAGGTACCCAAGTTAGTTACCTCCCAAATCCTCCATCCAATCTCCCGCCGCCGCCGCCCAAGCCATGTCTACTATTAATTCCGGGCGACATCAAAAAAAAAAAAAAAAAAACCTTTAATAGCCACTGGAAAGAAATCACCTCGCACATCCATACACCCACCCATCCACCACAAAAGACCGAGTATCAACTACAAGACCATCTTCGGCAAAACCCAAACAGACAGACAGGTAGACAATTACCAAGCTAAGAAGAAAAAGTGGGAAAACTAGGATTTTTTAAAAAGGCGAAGAAAATGAAAAACCCAGACTCCAAACATTCAGCCATGGTACAAAGAGTATTTGTTTCTTGTTTTTTTTTTTCCTCTATTCTCGTTCCCCTTCCTTGACATCACCGGTCCAATTGCGGTGCACGATGTAGGCGACCGCCAGACGAAATGCGTTTTTGTAAACGCTCCTTCTCACGTTGCTGACGCTCTCGGAGCGTGGCTGGGGGATCGTAAAACTCGCCACTGGAGGATTGGTGACCATGCTTTGATGAGGCGGTAGCATTTGAAGGAGCAGTCTCTGCGGGCGCGCTACATCTCTTTGCCGCCTTCTGGGAGAGGTAGTGCTTTGCTGCTAGCGACAAGCCGGAGCTTGGGATATTGGATGTGATTTCACCGCCGTTCTGTATTAGCAGTTCTGCCAGTGGGAACGTTACGGATGGGACGTTTGCTGAAGGTGCAGCCAGTTCATTTTCCGGAACGGTAGGGGCTGGATCGGCGGCCCGTAGGGCAAGAAATACCGCACGCAGGCCTGTGGCGGGATCGACGGTGTTAGGGCTTCCGTGTAAAGCGAGCGCGTAAAGAGTGCCCTGAAGATCATTACTCTTTACCGCTGCCAGGATCGATTCATCCGGTGATGCGTATTGAGAGAGTGTTGGCGATAGTGGTTGCACGAACGCTCGATCAACGTACTTGGATGTAATGAACTTGAGTCTCTGCTCCCTGGAGGATCGTGGATCCGGGCGGTGAGCGGCGTCAAATTTAGCCTCCCATATAGCGTTTGAATTCTTATTCCCTACTTGGCAAAGCAACTCAACCAAGTCCGGTGTGAAAGAGGTGACGTCCAATGTCAGCGACCGAACCTTGGATATATGTGTCCCGAGTGAGCGATGCAAACCACTACACTCTGCAAGACGTGTCAGCCATGTCCAGGCGCAGTCTCGCGAAAAACATACCAATGCACAAAACAACCCCCAGATTTATCGACACCCATTCGGTCTTCATTTGACTTTGGCAATCCGCACAGCAATTGTTGGCGGAATCTGCTTCTCTGACCATCTGGAGCAACTTCTCTGGGTCTTCATTGAAATTGCTGCTGCTCTGCCGAACACCGGCTGGCCTTGCGCCAACCGTCGTACGACGATTCATATTGGTATTAGAAGCCGATCCATGGGACATTGGATTGGTCCCGTGAACTGAATGATGATAATGAGGACTCTTCCCGGTGAGGGCCGTTGTTATGTTCTTCAACTTGTCAGGCCCGGCATCATTCTCAACATACGATGTGTCAAAATTTCGCACAGAACTACCACCCTCAATAGTACTCTTTACTGCATTATTGATTGCCGATATCCAGTTATTCATATCTTCTTCAGAAGTTGCTTGGTATACCCGCTTGTATAGCGGCGTGACAACCTCGAAGCAGAATCGTCTCTCCGCCCCTCGAGCCTCGCGTACCGATGCCATCTTAAGGTTGATTGGATCGTTGTGAAGGTCCAACTTTTGCTTCCAGTTTGAATATTCACACAACTGTCCACCAGCTAAGACAACCCAGTATCTAGGAACCCGGCGTCAGCAGATATCCTTCAACCCCCCTCAGCCAGACCTACTTATGCCACGCTTGCTTATTCAATCCCTTAGGATCCGCATGACTTCCAGGTCTACTCAAAGCCCAAAGAAGCCCCTCCTTTCTCCGGTCTGATTCACCGTTTACAAGGCCATTGCCATTGTATTCCTTCTCCTGTAAATCCCTGAATCCCTTGAACTTATCCGCCGCAGTATTTATTGGAGATGGTTCAGGCGCCGCCAGTCGGGCCGAACCTGGTGACAGCCCAAGACCATTAGGCGAGAGTGACATCACAGTTTCGGGAGCCTTTTCGGACCTTCTATCACCGCCAGAACTTGAGCCAGAGGATACTGTGCGGATGCTACTTGTCCCGACGCCGAGTTTTTCAAACCCAGTATTGTGGCCGAGAATTTCACTAGGCGGTGCAGACGTTGGGTTGGGTGTCGGAGGTGGCATGAAGGACGGAAGATTATCCGGCTCAACATACGTCTTACTGCTCTTCTCCAAAACACGTCTTCTTTCCTCCCGCTCAGTCCTTTGCAATTGAAACTCCTTATCCGACTCCTTCACCTCATGGCTCAGCGCCTCCAGCTGAGGCATCAATTCTTGCACCTTCTTCGCTGCCGCCAAGTAACTCCGGGCTTGCTCGTCTGCAAATTTAGTAAGCTGAGAAAGAACCTCCTGCTCTTTCCGGCCGCCATGCAAATCCTGCATAAAAGTGCAATAGTCAAATCTCTTCAGTTCAAAGTTTTTCCGCTTTGATTGGTATTTGGTCTCGCTCTCAATCTTCTTCTTCTCCTTCGCAGAGTCGTTCCTGATCCCTAAATAACGGCTTACATAGTTGTAATAATCTCGACTCTCCTCGTCGAAATCCTTCCTTTTGACCTCCGCCTGCTTAATATCCAGATTATAGAGCTTTGTGAGTGGGTCAATGATTAACTTCTGAAGGCTAGATTCATTCTGCTTCTCAAAGCCGAGAATCACACGATACGTCCTCTCGAAGTAGTGTTCTAGAGCCGGCCGAATTCCGGAGGCATTCCCAGTGCTTGCAGCGTCACTTAGAGATTCCATGAATGCGGTAACGGCATCATTGCATGCAATCTGTGCTTGCCGCGCCTGCTCGGCCCTTTTGAGTACTTTCTTCATTTTGGTACGCAGGGTCCCGGTCTTTTGTTCCAAACTCTTGAGGGTCGCTCGGAACAATGGACCATCCTCCGCCATGGTGCTATCCACCGGCCGTGGGCAGTTGTCTACTTTTACACAAGGTACACTAGTGGACCCATCAAAGGCCTCGGCCAAAGGGGAGGGGGGTTCCGCTTCCATGGACAAATCGTTCGGCTTTGGCTCGGGTGAATATCCAGAGGAAGACCGCATCTTGGGAGCAGACGAGAGCAAGTAATCCGAACTGGTGCCAGGCGATGGTGGCCATACTCGGGACGTATCTGCTGACGTGTCAGCGTTGGCCCCCAAAAATGATTAGTCGCAAGTACATACTCTGAACCCAAAACGAGAATTGGGCCAGTGTGGAAAGCTTGTGCGCTCGTTGATCGTACTCGACAAACTGTAATGCTTAGCATAGGATTAAAAACCAAGGAGCCGCGACATTCACATACACTGCATACATTCCTCCATCCCATATTCTTCCCACCCTCTCTATCTTCCATGCTTTGGGGAGGCCGCCAGCGCCATTGCCATTCAAACTGCACAGCATTCGATCCATCCGTCGAGAAGTCTCCAACTAGGTTCACATTGGGATTCTTGTGTAGGTTGGGGTCAGCATGTAACTCTCGGGTGACCAAATTCTCCAAATCCCGAGCATTGGACGCCACTATGAAAGTCAACCCGTTGATGTTGGTCTCTGGCCCAGTGTTTCCTGTGGCATCGTCCTTCCGCCTGATATTAAAGGTAAAGCAGAAGGTCAAGTCCTCCTCATTGGTAAGTTTGAGGAGGAAAGGTGGCTGCGCATTCGGGTCCGGGTCCTAAAAAATCACACCGGAATTAAGGACTTGACATAAGAGATATCGGATATCATATTCAATGTGTGCATTATAGATTTGGGGGAGGTGTGGTGATAGTACCTGAACAAACTCCACCAGGCCATCGTCACCGGGGTCCTTCTTCGCAACAATTCTGGAACACGGAAAAGAGCTAGGGGCAATCCTCAAGATTACTCGCTTCTGTGCGTTCGTTATTACCAGTGAAGCGATAGACACTGAAAAGAATGAAAGGGTCAGTGGAAAAGCACACAAGGAGAAGGTGCGGGGGGGGGGGTGATAAGAGTGGAACGGGTCCCGCACAAGGGTAGCGGCACGGAGAAAGGAGAATACGGTATGCATACGTCTCGATTGATCTCTCAAGTACAAGGCAGGCCCATCCTCAAGCTTCCCATTCACGTTACCCATGGCGACAGCCGATGCGGATGCACAGGATGCTCAGCAGCTTTTTTTTTTTTCGAGCCTTTGAAAGATAATTTTTTACTGATTAGCTATACGGGAGAAGGTGGTGGTGGTGGGGTTTGTTGGGTTAAGGAGGGGGGCGGGGGTATAGGAAAACACTGTTGTGAAGTCGACGGGGAAACGGTTGCGGGGAGCCACAGCGAACAGAAGGAGATGGGAGGCCGAGCGATACCGAAAGTGTGATGAGGGTATGATAAATGTAGGCAGGGTAGAAGGAAACGAGCGGGACCGTCAAATCTAGAAACACGCACACACGCACCACCACCACCACCACCGATAGCGAAGCCACCGCACAAACCAAAAACGGTATGAGATGGACAAATGGCACGATCACCGATGCCGGGCCCGAATCGCAGAGGTTAGGAACAAGAAAGAGGATGTGGACGATGTGGTGTTTCTGCTGCTCCTCGCTCCCTCTGTTGCCCGCCGCTTGTAGGAGCTGCTTCTTGATCTTGTGGTTCCTCGCACAGGAGGGATGTGGAACTGTACAGTACTAGTGCCGTGTACAGCAGTATCATAGATAAACCGAACACTTGGGCACGGTCACCTGGTGCACTCGAGGTGTCGATACCGGTACTGTACAAGTACTGTACTCCAAAGAGAAGGGGGGTTGGAAGGCTAAGGACGGAATATGCGGTGATGTTGTTCTCTTCAAGTGTGAACGCCGGTATCCAAGACAGGTGCAATACTAAGAGGCAGGAATCATAGCCGACCACTGTCGGATATTACCTTTTTTTTTTCTTTTCTTTTCTACACTTTCTTCCCTTCTCCTATCGAACGAATAGCGACCCGGATTGCACACCGCTTAAGCTCAGTTACCGGTGAAATTACATCGCGCAAAGGCATAGAAAGGCGGCGTCTGGCTCTTTCTACACGATGAATACCGTAAGCAGGAACATTCATTCGCACGCGGCCCTCCGTATTCCGAAGGTGCTCGGTGGCAAGAGTGGACTGGCCACAGTTCACATCCATCACCAGACACTGAGGAGGTCACCGTCCCATCAACAACACAACACGAGTAAACCGGTGCACAGTACAATCACTTCCAGCACGATAACAGTCTACACTTGAGCCTCGACAAGCGCGGGCTTGCGTGTGAAACATGCGTGGCCCTGCCATATCATGATGATCCCTTTTGCACTGTTTTCTATCGAACGCGCAAGTTATGTCAAGTTCTCAAGACAAAGTAAAAGGAGCCCGACAGGCAAAGAACAAACCCAGACCCATCCCATCCCATCCCATCTAAATTTACAAGCGGCCACCACGCAGCCTTGCGGAGTTACGTCCGATACTGTAACCCGTAAACTACCACTTGAGGCGTGACATGCCCCATCTTCGGCCATCGACAAACCCCCCCCCCCCCCTCTTGTGGAAGGCAGAGCATCGATATTTATAGTCCCTCGATCCATCTATCATCCGTCCATGGATTCGCTTCATCCAATGAGCTCCATAACAGTACCAGTACTGTGTTACGGCAGGAAAAACGTGCTGCGCTTTGCCGACGAGAAACAACTCTTACCCCTTGAACCGTTTCCTGTCCATCCAGTACAATACGAACTGCTGTCGGGATATTTATCATGTCGCTGTAGACGGAATTCATACGGTATCATACAGTGGTTATTTGTAGAACGGGTGCATGCATACATAACTTGTCAAGAACTCGCACAACAGCGCCTCCCTCCCGAATACAAGTCCTCATGATTCCTACATTATCATTAACTACCACCACGATATATATGGTACTCTACGAGTACTCGCATGATATGATAACTCGAGCATGAGACCAGGTCCCCTCCACACCAACAGTCCCTTTTTTTGTTTCACACACACCCACACCCACACCCGACATATCACTCACACGCCATGTACGAGTATCATACGGGTACTCGAGTACCAGTGCAGTGCAATGCAGTAGCGTCTAAAACCTCACCCGGTGATCCGGTATGCATACCTCAGGCCGATCCACACGCCTCCGGTGGCTTATCTTCCGTTGAGGCATTCCAGATGCTGGCGGCGTGCCAACCTGGCTTGGAACAAATCCATCCATTCTTCACTATTATCATAATTACCGCATTATTATTATTATTATTATTACTATATCCAGTTAATATATATATATCATAGCTTACGAGTCCCCTGCCTACCGTAGACTACCACCGCCACATCGGCCAAGTATGATACTGCGCCGGAGCCTGAGGACGTACGCAACTGCTACCTTACCGCACTAATCAAATACCAATACCAATACCAACCCACCGGAATCGCCACAGCTGGAAATAGCAATACCGCAACGAACCCGAAGGATGTCAGGTACTGTGGGAAGAGTAAACACTGCCTTGATCCGAGTGAAACGTATCACCGGTACTGGTACAGCACTCGCACATACAGTACCCGAGTACAGCACGAAAACAGTTGACTCCGGAGCCGCAATTCACTGGTGCAGACTACCGGTATGGCGATGCTGGCGCAACTATCACACAAGAGTTGCCGCGCGAGAAAAGAAGATCTGCCCTCCCCCCCCCTCCACTCCCGTCAGAGGAAAAGCACAAGTAATAACCGTACCGTATTATGCACCCACACACCCCGCCACCGTCGGCTACCCGTACCGGACAGACATCTCAAGGAACAGGCAGAAGCCACCACCAGATCACAATAACGATACCGATATACCTACCCACCCACCCACCCACCCACCCTTCCCAAGCTCACCGTCGGGGTTATCATAATTAATTAATCCCAAGCACCTAGGTAGGCAGTTTTCCGTCGCTTACCGGTACCCGTACTCGAGTACAAGTACTCGTAATTTACTTATGATACCCTCCCACCTTGGCCACACGACGTACCCATGCCAACAAGCAACCGAAGCTCCCCTTTCCCCCCCCTCCAACTTCAACCCCGCAGCACGACAAAAATGCTTCCAGGCTACAATAATACTCGTGTACCTAAGCACACCCGCTGGCTGGACATCCGGATAGTTTCCGATCGGTTCGGCTTCCTAACTTACTCGGAACTTCAGAACACCAGCCCCTCCCGGAGCTAAAAATAGGTTTGAACCTTATCCTGAACACCGTGACCCTCTACTACCGACGCAGCCCTGTCCACAAAGCGATCAGTCTAGTGTTCACAGAGCAACGTATGGCGCTCGGGCACCGTACGCATCATGCGCCATAAAAAAAAATTAAAAAAAAAATAACTCCATCATGGCCCAACCAAGCCGTGACTTTTACAGTACCCTACCGCACAGTTCATCAAAAGAGTAGTCACAAAGCATCACTCGACGCAGTGTCGCAGCATTCTGCACGAATGATTGATCGAACCGTATCGGAAGTGGCAACACGCATATAATACCCTAGGGGTTCGGATCCGAAATATCCCGTACATACAAACACAACGAGACAAGTCAAGTTATCATACGGTAAATGGACACAGTGCTGGTACTGTGAATAAATATAAACCTCCCCCCTTCTTCCAATGCCCTACCGGTACTTTGTAATCGAGTACCGTACTTGCTCATGACGGCTTGTTGCCGGAGGGAACAAGTGCGGAAGCGAGAATGGCGGATGGCGACATGTGCCACAGTGCGATACTCGTACAATACAATACTATGAAGTGGTTTAAAATTACAACTCGTCCTAGGCGAGCACCCGAACGTAAGGGGTTCACCGTCGAGGAATGTACCGTACCGGTATGGTATGGTATGGCCAGTTGTCCGTGCGAACAGAATGATGCTTGTACTCGGGTACGGGTACTACGCGGGTACTCTACTGGTACTAGTACTCGAGTACCTGTACAGTACGAGTACAGTACGAGTACCTCTTGCCGGGGACAAAGTGGGTTCTAGGGCTATCGAAAGCGGGGGGGGGGAAGAAGAAGAAGCCGAAGTGTTAGAGAGGCTGGATTTCGGGTTGTACACGGGTACAGTACTCGTACAGTGCAGTGCAGAGTGGGTGGTGGTGGTGAAACTGGCGGCGTATTCCCCCCCCCCCC